GGGAAAAGGCAGTGTGGAGTGTGATTGAGATTGCGTCTGTGGATCTGTTGGGAAGGTATGCGAATTGGAGTGGGTCTAGGGTTTCCGGGATGATAGTGTTGATGTGAGCCATGACCAGCCTTTCAAAGCACTTCATGGCTACTGACGTGAATGCTACAGGGCGGTAGTCATTTAGGCAGGTTACCTTCACATTCTTGGGCACAGGGACTATGGTGGTCTACTTGAAACATGTAGGTATTACAGACTCATTTAGGGAGAGTTTGAAAATGTCAGTGAAGACACTTGCCAGTTGGTCCGCGCATGTTCTGAGTACACGCCCTGGTAATCCGTCTGTCCCCGTGTCCTTGTGAATGTTGACCTGTTTAAAGGTCTTGCTCACATCAGCTACGGAAAGCGTGATCACACAGTCGTCCGGAACAGCTGGTGCTCTCATGCATGCTTCAGTGTTGCTTGCCTCGAAGAAAGCATAAAAGGCTTTTGGTCATAAAAGGCGTCACTGGGCAGCTCGCGGCTGGGTTTCCCTATGTAGTCCGTAATCGTTTGCAAGCCCTGCCACATCTGACGAGCATCAGAGCCAGTGTATTTAGATTCAATCTTAGTCCTGTATTGACGCTTTTCCTGTTTAATTGTTAGTCTGAGGGCACCCGCTCCTTGAAAGCGGCAGCTCTAGCCTTTAGCTCGGTGCGGATGTTGCCTGTAATCCATGGCTTCTGGTTGGGATATGTACGCACGGTCACTGTGGGGACTACGTCGTCGATGCACTTAATTGATGAAGCCGGTGACTGAGGTGGTATACTCCTCAATGCCATTGGATGAATCCCAGAACATATTCAGTCTGTGCTAGCAAAACAGTCCTGTAGCGTAGCATCCACGTCATCTGACCACTTCCGTATTGAGCGAGTCACTGGTACTTCCTGCTTTAGTTTTTGCTTGTAAGCAGAAATCAGGAGGATAGAATTATGGTCATATTTGCCAAATAGAGGGCGTGGAGAGCTTTGTATGCATCGCTGTGTGTGGAGTAAAGGTGGGCTAGAGTTATTTTTTACTCTGGTTACACATGTGACATGCTGGTAGAAATGAGGTAAAACTGATTTAAGTTTGCCTGCATTAAAGTCCCCGGCCACTAGGATATCTGGGCCCCTAAGCCACAATATCGGCCTTTGGTGCTTTCGAGCACTTGGTATGGTTTAAAGTGATAGTCTATTCAACCCCAAGGGCAACCTTGATTTAATGTTTTGGAACTAGGCATGGAAAGATTAAACAACGAACAGATAAGGCAGGGTATATATGCCCATCTTTCCTCTGGAGGGACAGATTACTACGATCCTTGCAGAAGTGTCGTTTTGGTCTCCCTGTGCACAGCTGTCTAATAAAACTCTTAAATATAGAAGCTGTTCGCCTTAACTGTCACACCCTGACTTATGGGACTCTTGTATGTTGAGTCAGGGTGTGGAGATCTATGTCATTATTTCTATGTTCACATTCTAGTTATTGTATTTCTATGTTTGGCCGGGTGTGATTCCCAATCAGAGGCAGCTGTCGCTCGTTGTCTCTGATTGGGGCTCATACTTAAGTTGCATGGTTGCAATCATTAGTTGTGGGATCTTGTTCCGTGTAGAGGCTTGTATTGTGTTTAGCCTGAGGACTTCATGTTACGTTGTTTTGTTGTTTTGTTCGTGTGTTTATCGTTGAAATAAACATGTATGCATTTCACGCTGCGCCTTGGTCTGACCCGTCCTTCAACGTCCGTGACAGAAGATCCCACCAAACACGGACCAAGCAGCGTGCCCAGGAGCAAACACCCTGGACACAGGTGGGGAAGATTTGGTCTTGGGAGGAGATATTTGCGGGGAAAGGACCCTGGCAGGAGAGGAGCAACGGCAACACAGAAGGCGCCAGCCGAGAAGGAAGCCCGAGAGGCAGCCCCAAGAAACGTTTTTTGGGGGGCTAAAGGAGTGGTCGGGGAGTGAGAGAGAAGAGCCCCGACCACTGCACCCGGTGGGTTTCCAGATTGAGTCCCTACGATCATGGGAAGAAGAGCGGGAACAGTTTTATACTGAGGAGTCGGAGGATGACAACGACGATGAGTTTCTGTTCCCTAACTCGTGGGGGCTCCCGGAGGAGTCCTCCCTGGAGGAGGAGTGCCGAGAAAGAGAGAAGGATCGGATCTGCAGGGTAAGAGAGGAGGCCACCACATTACGGGGGCTGCCGGCTCAACGCTCCTGGTCTCCAGTTTGCCTCCAAGGTCCAGTATATCCTGCTCTGGTTCTCGAACTGTGTCACCAGTGCACCTTACCAGTCCTGTACGACCCGTACCTGCTCCTCACACCAGGCCAGTGGTGCGTGTTCCCAGTCCGGTACGACCCGTGCCTGCTCCCCGCACCAAGCCAGTGGTGTGTGTCCCCAGTCCGGCCCGGCCCATTCCTTCTCCTCGCACCAGACCAGTGGTGCGTGTTCCCAGTCCGGCCCGGCCCGTTCCTGTTCCTCACACCAGGCCAGTGGTGCGTGTTCCCAGTCCGGTACGACCCGTGCCTGCTCCCCGCACCAAGCCAGTGGTGCGTGTCGCCAGTCCGGCCCGTGCCTGCTCCACGCACCAAGCCAGTGGTGCGTGTCGCCAGCCCGGTACGACCCGCACCTGCTCCCCGCACCAAGCCAGTGGTGTGTATCCCCAGTCCGGCCCGGCCTGTGCCTGCTCCCCGCACCAAGCCAGTGGTGTGTGTCCCAGTCCGGCCCGGCCCGTGCCTGCTCCCCGCACCAAGCCAGTGGTGTGTGTCCCCAGTCCGGCCCGGCCCGTTCCTGCTCCTCGCACCAGACCAGTGGTGCATGTTCCCAGTCCGGCCCGGCCCGTTCCTGTTCCTCGCACCAAGCCAGTGGTGCGTGTCGCCAGCCCGGTACGTCCTGTGCCTCCTCCCCGCACCATGCCAGTGGTGCGTGTCGCCAGCCCGGTACGACCCGTACCTACTCCCCGAACCAAGCCAGTGGTGTGTGTCCCCAGTCCGGCCCGGCCCGTTCATGCTCCTCGCACCAGACCAGTGGTGCGTGTTCCTAGTCCGGTCCGGCCCGTGCCTGCTCCTCGCACCAGACCAGTGGTGCGTGTGTCCAGTCTGGCACGGCCCATGCCCGTGGCTCCACTCCGGAGCTAGAGCAGTCCGCTCCACCGGTGCCTGATCCAGCTCCGGTCGGTTGCTCCACTCCGGAGCCAGAGCAGTCCGCTCCACCGGGGTTCAATCCAGCTCCGGTCAGCTGCTCCACTCCGGAGCTAGAGCAGTCCGCTCCACCGGTGCCAAGTCCAGCTCCGGTCAGCGGATCCATTCTGGAGCCAGAGCAGTCCGTTCCACCGGTGTCTAGTCCAGCTCCGGTCAGCAGCTCTACTCCGGAGCCAGAGCAGTCCGCTCCACCGGTGCCTAGTCCAGCTCCGTTCAGCGGCTCCAGTCCAGACCCAGACGTCAGCCTCTCTCCAGGTTTGGGGTCTCCCACACCAGGGCCCAGACAGGGCTTGGTGCATCGTGGGAGGAAGGAGAGGGGAAGCAGCGCGCCGAGGTCCAGACCAGACCAGGGGCGCAACGGGGAGGCTGAGAGAATGTGGTCGTCACACCCGGACCCTACCCTGTTATGTCAGGTTTGTGCGGTCGGAGTCCGCACCTTTGGGGGGGGGGGGGGGGGTACTGTCACACCCTGACTTATGGGACTCTTGTATGTTGAGTCAGGGTGTGGAGATCTATGTCATTATTTCTATGTTCACATTCTAGTTATTGTATTTCTATGTTTGGCCGGGTGTGATTCCCAATCAGAGGCAGCTGTCGCTCGTTGTCTCTGATTGGGGATCATACTTGCCTGGTTGCAATCATTAGTTGTGGGATCTTGTTCCGTGTAGAGGCTTGTATTGTGTTTAGCCTGAGGACTTCACGTTACGTTGTTTTGTTGTTTTGTTCGTGTGTTTATCGTTGAAATAAACATGCATGCATTTCACACTGCGCCTTGGTCTGACCCGTCCTTTAACGTCCGTTACATTTTCTTTCACATTTAACATTTCTCCACACCTTGACCAGTTTTCAATTCCTAACAATGTGACGATCATGGTATAAATACACTATATATACAAAAGTATGTGGACACCCCTTCAAACAAGTGGATTCGGCTATTTCAGCCACACCCGTTTCTGAAAGGTGTTTAAAATGGAGCTCACAGCCATGCAATCTCCATAGACAAACATTGGCAGTAGAATGGCCTTACTGAAGAGCTCAGTGACTTTCAACGTGGCACCGTCATTGGATGCCACCTTTCCAACAAGTCAGTTCTGCCCTGCTAGAGCTCATAGAACAGAACCGTTGAGTGCTGAAGCGAGTCGCTCGTAAAAAAATAGTCTGTCCTCGGTTACAACACTCACTACCGAGCTCCAATCTGGAAGCAACGACTGTTCGTCGGGAGCTTCATGAAATGGGTTTCCATGGCCGAGCAGCCGTACACAAGCTTAAGATCACCATGCGCAATGCTAAGCGTCGGCTGGAGTGGTTTAAAGCTCGCCGCCATTGGACTCTGGAGCAGTGGAAACACGTTCTCTGGAGTGATGAATCACGCTTCACCATCTGGCAGTCCGATGGACGAATCTGGGTTTGGCGGATGCAACTTTGTGGGTAAGGCCCTTTCCTGTTTCAGCATGACAATGCCCCCATGCATAAAGCGAGGTCCATACATAAATGGTTTGACAAGATTAGCGTGGAAGAACTTCCCTGGCCTGCACAGAGCCCTGACCTCATCCCCATCAAACACCTTTGGGATGAATTGGAACACTGACTGCAAGCCAGGCCTATTCGCCCAACATCAGTGCCCGACCTCACTAATGCTCATATACAGTACTTTTGGTCATGTAGTGTATGTATTTTTTATAAATGTCTGAGTAAATTATAATACAAATAGTATTGACAGTTTGACAGAAGGCCACAGCTTACCGAGACAAGGTGAGATTCTCTTGTTGGCGGTAGCATGTTGATGTTGTTTTAGACGGTGCTAGTGAGATCTCCATACAAGCCTTTTTTCAGTGTGACGGTGTTAGTCTCATCAACATGACAGGGCTCAGTGTCTTTCAGTGTGTGTCCATCCAGAGTCCAGCTGTACTGGAAACCATCCCCCCTCAGAGGAACTGGACACCCTCTTCTCTCCATGGAACACCAACATAATATAATTTAAAAGAGTTGATCACATATATAATTGAAACAAGACTAAGCCTACATTGTATCAATATTACATCCAGATTTGAACACCAAAAAATGTAATGCTTCACAAAACTCATACCAAGTAAATAAATTATTAATCTACTGTCACTTATGAAACCCCCTCTTTATTAATTGCTATACATTTCACTGATTAGGGTTGTTTTTACTTCCAATTACATGTAGATATATTTTTGTTGTACAATACTGAAGCTTGTCCACTACCATTTAACTTATTTAGTCAACAAGTATAGCCATTCAGTTTTTAAAGACTTAACAAATTTAACTTGAATAAGATGAAATGTTCTCTCCAGGACATCACAGAGTTCTACAAAATATTTGGCAGAATCACTGTATTCGGCATTAGTTAACTTAAATGTCCCGTTCTGGTCAAGGAAATCTGATTTGTCTTCAATGGCATCACTAAATGGCCGACTGACATTTTTGGAATTGCATATCTCTTTAGCAGGATATTGACAATACTGTTTGTTTTTGTAACTTTGCGTATAACTTTCCCTTTCTAAAGCCATTCATGATCAGCTGGAGATATACAGTTCCTCCCAGAGCTCCATAACACCGGGCTCCATCTAGAGCAACACTGGACTTATCCATGCCTGAGAAGAGAAAAATATATATAAATCCATCACATTTCTGTCTTTTACTGACCGAGAAAAATGCTTAGACTGTGCATAAGAAACTAAGAGTTGACCCAGCCTTTTTACCAAAACATCTCTCATTCACATGGGTTGTCCTGTTTATTAAGTAATACCTCAGTTGTGCAGCTTAAACACGCAAACACATAAATGCATAAATGGAATTAATGGGATTGGAGTCCAACATGTGGTTGCCATATGCTTGATGTGTTTATTACCATTCCATTAATTCCATTCCAGCCATTACAATTATCCTCCTATAGATCCTCCCACCAGCCTCCACTGACCTAGACCTAGGCCTATATCTGAAGATCCTTTGCGTAACTTTGGTTCATGTCATGTTATGATATGAACAAAGGAATCTAGCCTGAGAGCATATTTCTATCCTGCCCTTTGAAACAGGACGTGTAATGTCCATGGCCTTTTCATTGCAAAAGTCCTGATCTTCTCAAAAATATATGTTTGCCGGGTTGTGTCCAGTCCGGGGGATCCTTTCACATTTTTGGGAGGAAGGACGTCAACATTGCACAGCAGCTGAAACCTGGTTCCATGTAAGTGAAAGCTCCTTGGCCACAACATCACCACTTTCCAGACAATGGAAGCTGTAGAGGACAAGACCTTAAAACCTTGCATACCAGCAATTAGCTCAAGGTATAACAAATACAAAATACCTCAAGTGTTGCTTGTTCACCCTCGATCATCTCCTTGTACTGGTGGCAGAGAGCAGGTTTATGCTGAAAGACAAATTCCAAAAAAATAAGCTAAAACATTAATTCATTAATGTCTTATATATTGCTTGTTATTGCCTGTTGACTGCCACAGCTGTACTAAAATGCCCTGTACACACTTAACCTGCTTCCAGCCCAACAATGGCAAGGCAGACACTACAATATAACTAGCTAGATTTAGCAAACATTTAGCTCCATAATTACCAGCTGGCTAGATGTAAATGGTATTCATCTAGCTAGCCAGCTAGTTGAACATACAAAAAAAGAGCGAGGTGTAAACCTCTAAATACATACACGGGACGAGACCCGTAATACCAAAAGCACAATACAATGTACTTTCCTGGACTGTCACCTTGCCACGGTGGAGAGGCTTTCGTGCGCCAATGACCCTGAGCGCTAAGCCAGAGGGGTTTATACTCCCGGCAGGTGCAACCAAGCCGACCAGGTCGAAGGGTAGGAGGCAGACAAAGCAGTCCATGGTCCTCCATGTTGGGGGTTGGGCATGGGGCTAACTACCCCACCCCGTAAAAAACAGAAACATTGATGAATAGAAACCAAATAAATTGCCCCAAAGCAGGACATTTTCTTGGACACATGTAACTGCTGAAGGGAGAAGCTGACAGTGAAGGACATTTACTTTTTGGGCTTAACTGATGATACTATGATGATGTTATGTAATGTTAATGATTTTTAAATATTTGTTTAATATTACACGACTGTAATTGCAATCTTTATGTTGATTGGTTAGGCACACAGTAGTAAATTATTAGAATAGCTGACTGAAGATGTTTTTCCAACAGTACGGACAGACATTATCACACTATTGGAAATGGGCTGGAATAAGAGGTAGTTCACCAACATGGATCGCATGTTGGCGAAGAGATATGTGAAGGTATTCATAATCTTTTTTTTTTTTTTTTTTTACCTGTATCTGCTTTTTCATTCTTGTTTGTCTATTTCTACTCGTCTGATCTTCTGTCTGAAATCCTGGCACAGGTTTTTATTTTATTAGTCATCAAGATGTCTGTATACATTAAAGTTTAAAAAAATTAGAACCTTCACCTATGTTATTCCTTAATTGAATTGTATTTTTTTAGAATGTCAAAAGACTGAAGGAGACCAGCCTCATTGAAGAAAAGCGGGCAGAGCTGCACATCAACGACGCAGTGCTTCCGGAGTGGGCTGCTGAGGTGCAGCAGTGGCCTGAAGGTACAGTATGTTAGGTTCTGAACAAATAGAGCAAAAACTGAAACGGACAACCAGAAAAAGCACTAACCAAGTTTATTCTACCCACAAGCATATGGCGCCCCTCCCAGCAGTGTCTTCTCTCTTCAAGTGCTGTGCTTATCTCGAGTTGAGTTCAACATCCCTCATTGTCCTAGTTCCACAACAGCTGGCCTGCCTTATCAGGAACGGAAACTAGACTGCTACCCTTTGCCTCCTTCCTTGGAAATATTAATATTCAGCAATAACATGTTTGAACAGAATATTGACTTTCTGCACTTCCCCTTGTCTCACTCAATAACTTTCCATACACAAAGTTCCTATTCACCCTTCATTGACACCTAAAATATACATTTCTTATACATGTAAAGTAACCAATACGTTCTAATATGATGACAGGAATAAGTATATTTCAAGCCAGAATCCAATATGTAGAAAAGTGAATGTTTCTCTGTCTCTCAACTTAATAATTGTATTGATGTCAGTGGAGTCATGTTTGTAACTTGCCCTATGTTTGACAGCCACACTTCAGGATAGTTAGAGAGGGCAGATGGGGCATCTCAAGAAGAAGATTGAGGGGCTTTATCTCAGTGTGAAACAGAGGAAACACTACCTCTACCGTTTGACAAGTAAGCCCCAACAACAATATGACCGCAAACACATTATTAATCAAGGTGTAAAACTGATTTGTGAAAGAAAATGCATTAGTCATACACATCAGACCATGTTTATGATCAAATGTAGGCATGACCTATGTTATTAATTGATATAATGCAAAACATTTAATTAAACAGAAATTACGTGACCATAAACAGCAGAGTATCTTGTGAGCCACAACTCTGCATGCCTTGTATAATGTTACAACTGCATGACAACAAATGCTTTAGAAATGAGTGCCTTGTACTCTCTTTGTTTGTACCTCTATAGTAGCTCTATAACTTATAGTCATGTAATATATCTGAATATACAGTCCGTCTAATCACCCCTTTTTATTCAGACAGCAACAAGAGGAGGCATCAGATTCGTAGAAAATTATTTGAGGACAAAGCAGCCTTGACAGCTGCCATTGTTCAACTTCACGAGCTGCAGGCAGAGTTTAGGCTCCCCACAGTGGATGAGCTGCTCAATACTGACAACTTTGTGTGGCCATGGGAAAGACTTGGCACCAGTAAGTACATGATTGCAGAAGTTATCTATTGTGATTGAATGTTTACCTTCAGCATAGGCTGCAATCATTGCTGTTGTTCTGTTATATACCTCTGTGAGTTTACATCTCACAGGCAACAGCCATCTTGCCATCAAAAAGGCAATCTTCGACAGACTGATGTTGGTGAACAGACTGCAGGAGGAAGAGAGGATCCTGGGGCAGGAGATGAAGAGGCACTGGGGGAGCCTACATAGAGCAGCGGGAACTCTGGAGGCACTGTCCCTACAGCTGCAAGAACAGAGTAAGTTCGGGTTAATACTAATTTGGGACTGAACATTTTGTCTTGCTTTACAAATACCCAAATATACCTTTTTGTGTAATGGAATTATAAATAATTTACTGCTTTACATGTGACTTTTAGGCAATGCAGTGGAGTTGTCAGAGGGAGGGAGGAATGGCCTTCTCTGCCACCTGAAGAGAAGATTGAGTGAACTGACACAAGACCAAGTCAACACCAGGAATATCTATCACAAGCTGATTTTGGGAGAAGGGGATTTCTTTGATGACTCTGATGTAGACGAGAACTCAGATGAAGATAAAGTCCTATTGCTGAGAGCTCAGATGACGACTGCTATGCTTTCTGAAATCATACACCACCCCTGCCTCTTTCTCTCGGTCTCGCTCTCTCCCGCAGTAAAGGTAATAGGCCGCCACCACCTCCCTTGGGAGCAGCCTGGTCTCCTGACGTTGATCCCTGAACCCTCACCTTCTGAACCCATCCAAGGAAATGTAATTTGCCTGATGACGCGCTAGTGGAGAAGGAATGTGTCATTTCAGCGCATTTGTTGCCATGTTTCCTCTCCTCTCCTCTGTTTATTTCAGTCCTAGACTATGGCGACATCATCAGCAACTCAGACTGTTGGTTGAGGATCTCTTTACTGAGGAATGTGGTTGTTCTTCATGATTGTTTTTTCGTATTTTCTTGGAGTATGTTCTCTGCTGCTGTGATTGAGATTTTTGTGTAATTGTGAGTTGCAAAAGAGTCCTTGGTCTCAAAGGGAATGCTAAAATAAATAAATAAAGGTCTTAGTAAATAAATGCACTAACAGCTCTGAGTGTGCGTTTCAGTCGATTACATAGTATGAATGAATTATTTTGATGTAATAAAAAGTGTTGGTGCAGCATGCTGCAAGCCATTGCTGCTCCTTGCAACATTGTAAGTACAACATCATCTTTCTAATCTGATATTGAATGGAATGTACTGTTGCCCAACACATATTTCAGCAGTGCATAATTTCAAATTGTAGGACGCGTGTCCTGTTAAAGCTTACTGGCTGATGAAGGACAATAACATAGTATGCCTATTTACACCAGCATATAATTTAATAGTTGTTTTACCTAAATTAATTGATGGTATAGAAATGTACATTGTAAAGTTCACAAACTATAGCCTACTAAGATATGCACCTGGCACAATGCTGATTTATATAGGTTATGAGCAGTGGATTGGATTGAACAACTTTAGTAGGCCTAATGATTTTATTGTGAGTAATGACAAAACAATCAGCAAAAGTGATGGGAATATTGCATTTTGAAAAGCAAATGCTTCAATTGAATATGTAGGCAAATTCCGACATCAGTGGACCTGCGTGAGGGGTGTCATGAAGAATTAGGGCATTTTGAAGGGGCTGATACAGTGTTCCACTATTTAGGCCGCAGGGCTCCTGTTACCATTTGTAGCTGGGAACAACTTATTATAGCTTATTATATTGCTGACTGACCTTCAAATAGGCTACGCAATATAGGGCTATTTGCGATAATAAGCGCATCTTCATAGAGGAGTTTATTATAGGCCTATAATA